GCTTATTTTGAATCTGCCTTCAAAACCTGTTGAACACTTCTCTGACTTTTGCAGATATGAAGCCGAAAAGTGCAGTGGAAGCAATGCGGGCTCTCTGGCAAGGGTTCGTGGGATCGGGTCCTCAGCAAGTTCACTACTTTGCTTTTGTGCGCAGCATTTCCAAAACGACTCTCGTACATATTACTTCATCACTCTTTACCTATAACGAGCCGCGACAATGAGTACCACTTGCTGATGATTCCCAATTGCTCAGTTGCTCCAGGGACTTTACTTTATAGGCTAACAGACCACGTTCCTGACAGACACTCTCAGCTGAAGTCTGGCTATTTTCAATCAGAGCTAAGAGAACCGCTATTCGGCTGAGCACCCGAACCTTGTTAAATGAGATAATCCATTTCTAAAAATACCGACTGATCAAACATCAACTTGGCGGGCCCTCATTAATTCATTGGAACGGTCTCGCATTGCAGTCGCTCAAGCTTCATCAGTATTTCCAGAAAAATGTGTTCAAAAAAGCGTCCATGTCGCTTTCGACGCTACGCCGACGCATTTGAAGTGCCGAATCGGTCAGAGAACGACGGCGGAGGATTTGTTTCATTAGTCTCATATTTGCAAAGCACAGCGAGTTTCACTCGCGAAGAGCTCGGGTTTCAGTGAAAAACGGCGTGAGTTCTCCTAGTGAGTTGGATTCTCTGGATGTTCTTCGCACGAGTTTCCAGTTTCAGAGATAGAAATATAATCTAATTCTGAGGCGTGCCTGTGCAAAAAACCTCAAACACCTTCGATGGTTCATTCCAAGCTCTCCTCAAAAGCACACAAAAAGACACGAACCGAAGTGTTTACCTTGAACGAAAAAGGCGATCTCGGCAGCATATCGTCACATATTTGTCCACAGCAATTGCCAGCATATGAAATGTTGAAATAGTGCAGAGAATACAGAGAATCAGATGTACAAACAGACATCCATAGAAGGAATGTGGTCGTCGGGTCATCACCGAAATGACCGTAATCGGAATGCCTACACTTCCTGTAATAAGCCTAAGTTTAGAGGATGGCAGAAACGACGTGTAACCGCGACTTACCTGCTAAAAAATCCGTCAGCGCTAGTGAGAAGATATAGGAATTTGTGACAGTTCGCACGTACTTCTTTCTAACGTACACGTATAGGACGACGAAATTTGAAAGCGAAATGTGAATAGAAAGCAGCAATTCGGCCACCGCATAGACGAGGAGGTAGTCCATATGGCGACGCTGCTGACGGCCACGCCTCTCCAATAGTGCTGAGAGGTGCGCTGAAATCTTCATATCCACCCCTAATAAAACGCCTCATGACAGAGATGAGCTGTGAAAATCAGCGCGTCAAAATTTAAACACGGTCCATCATCAATATACGAAAGAAATTATGTGTTTTAGCGGGTCTTGTCCAGTTGGGGGGGGGGGGGCATCATGATGCAAGTTTTTCCAGAAAAGCTAAGGTAACTCTGAGCCAGGGGGAGTGTAGCCAGTCTAGGTGGGTGGGGAGCAGGATCGGTCCTATCGTTGGTACTTTTGGAAAATCTTTACGACCCCCCTCGTTCACCAGAAGTTTCGTACTACCCCCTCTTTCACAACAAACTTTCCATCAAACTACCAGTCGGGCGGACGTATTAACAAATCATAAAAACCGCCAAATTATCTGTTATTTCTCCCTCATTTTCCCTCGTTTTCACTCAATATTTCCGCGCTCCATTTTCAAGACGGTGGGGAGAAAAGGAGGAGACCTTCATAGCATGTATTTTCGCACCAGCTGAAACAAGTATCACCCCTCACCAACCAACTTCAACAACTAGACCTGATCCCTTTTACTTTAGCAGCGTAGGTGACGGTGGGGAGCTGAGGGCATTCCCGTTTGACATGCTGTAAATATGCTGGAATGCTCAAAGTTCACATACATCAGTTTGAGACTGGCATCATTATGCCTCGCCCCCCCCTATCACTGAATAGACCCGGTTTGAGCAAAAGTAATCCGCCTTTTCCAATTCACTCATAAAATTATTAAGCAAACCAAACAAGAACAACAATAAATGCGTAATGATGACCCGAATAGTCCTCTCTGCAAACGTGCCTTCATTCCGCACGCTTCATTGATTCTACGAGCAGATGCAGATCATTCGGTCCCGAGCTGAACTTGCACTCATGGTAGCAGGGGCAATTCTTTTTTACTCGAGTGTAAGCTCCTGCTAGCGCGGTCCGAAAATCTGGGCCGAGCGATTTGTTTGTGTTTTGTTTTTCCTTGCCTTACCAGTCCCTCATATTTAATATATGTTATGCCTTCCACTTCTCTGAAATCTATGAGTTCTAAGGATCAAAAGCACTTGAAAGAAAAATCTTATTCACCTTTAACACTTTTTTTGGAAAAGAAAATAACGCATGAAGGACCACTTCGGTGAACACTTTTGACCGCTACTGTAAATACACAAGTGTTGTACATCAGAAATGTACAAGAGATTGAGCGCTTTCAGACTACATCATAACCTCCGAAAATAATCAGCAAAAAATCAAAGAACCATGAGCCTGAAAAAAAAACGGCGGATAATTTTTGCTCAACCTAATATTTAATTAAGTGCGATGTCAACCAATAATGAATGAGTCTGGAGAGATATAGGAATAGCCCGCGTTCAACCATTTTGCAGTCTTGGCATTCCTCGGGATTCGGGATATTTCTTCAATCTCAAATCTATTTCTTCAAAGCCCAATAAAAAGTTTAATCTTGAAAGACTTGAAGAAATATCCCTACTGATATACAGGAATGTTTCTGAAAGTTGTTCAGAATGCTAGAATTAGCCTCAAGCCCCAATTAGCCTTATGCGGTAGAGCCGCCAAACCCTACCACATAAGGTAAGGTCGTGGTAGAGATTAAGTTATGTCGATTGAACATAGTGAGCTCAATCCCACTTTACTAAACTATTTAAGAGTACACATCTTACGCTCAAAGAGCGTCCAACAATAAGCATCTGGATATTGTCAGGTGAAAGGAAACGAAAATGCACTACTGCCGTAGGGCAGGGGGCATTGTAATGCAACGGCTCGTAAAGCCTACAGTAATAGCAATTCCTGCAGGGGAGCAAGCTCCCTGAATGGGTGAAGCTATGCGCCAAACCTAAAAGTTTCAGGTGATTCGGGTACTTTGCACCGAATTGCCTCTCCCAAGTGCACACATTTGAGTAAAGAAAATCTTCTCATGTTGTTTCGAATTATTTTCAAGTATTAATTAGACGACTATTTTTAGTTATAGTTAATGAACTATTTTTCCTGTGATCAAAACGAAAATCAGACAATTTCAATGACGTATTTCCAGGGTCTCACGGTGTGTTTTGACCATACAATCTGATCTTTGATAAGGGCAACTGAACAAAGTAGGCATTATTATGCGAACCGAAACGATGAAAATCGACGTAAGTTAATGGAAGCAGTACCGGAAACTTCTTATTTATTTAGTTATTCACTTTGCAGAGGACGCACTTCAGTTGCACAACAAGAGGATGTACTTGAAACAAGGCACTTCTTGACCGAACTCGTGGCAAGAGAAATATGGTTACAAATAAATAATTGAATAAGTAAATATAAAT